TCTTGAGAGAAATATGTGAGCTGAACTCCTTCTGAACATGCCATCTGCCTGACCATTTAATGCCTGCAGTGGTCACTGTCAGGAAACAAGTATAGATTCTTGACACACACACAGAGACTCCACTTACTGCATGTGACCCTTACTGATTTCATAATAGCAGGGGCAGCTTTCATACACTGTATGGCCAAAAGTGACAATAGTAATTAGGACAAAGAGGTTGAAGCTCCCTAGCGAGGATAAAGGCAGCTATCAAAACGTGAGAGGGTCGCTAACCCTTCACCACTATCCAAAACTGAAAACACTCACATGAACCTTTCATACACTTTAAATTAGAATCATTGGCTGATTTAGATTTCTTTTCTGCTTTGTTTTATAAGCACCCTTCTTACTATTCCCTATAGACGGGGGCATCCCGAGGCCGGGTGACACCCAGAGCAGAGACCTGGGGACACCCCACCGTGACTTCATCTTGCGCATGCGCGGCCATCTTATTGACGCCTGCTGGCATCCATCTTGGTGATGGGCGCTGGCAGAGGGAGGAGTGGACGTTCATCTGGCGGGATGAGGTATGCTGCCGGGTCCCCTCCTCTCTCCTGCAACTGTCAGGCTCTCGGTCAATGACTGAATGCCCGACTTTTCAGAGGGGTGACACCAAAATGACTGTCAGTCATTTTGGTGTCACCCCTCCAATGGGGGCACCCAGGTGCGGGTGGCACCCCCCTTGTGACGCCACTGGTCATATGTACACAAAATAGTTACATAGTAGCACAGTGTTACCATATAGACAGGCAAGTAACTACAGGTCGTGGGGCTCATAGCAAAATTTTGATGGGGCCCCCCTGGCAACCTCCGTATCTTGCATACATAAAGTATGTCTAAAGCTGGCCATACACTGATCTATTTTTCTCATTTAACCCGCGGGCTGAATGAGAAATATAGAGCAGATTCCTCCATCAACACTTAGGGGTGTGTCGATCAAAGAAACCCCGCTGTTTGTACTGTATTTTGACAGCGGCCTCTGGCTGCCAGCTCCTATCATGCGAAAATATTCCGGCCAGCTCCTACGATCAGCTGAATGAAGAATGCCGACCGAAAGGGTGCCGTCAGCTGTGCGAATTTTGACCAGTTCCTTAAAAGCCGGCCAAAATTTGCACAGTATATGGGCACCTTACTGTGACACCACTGCCTATAGCAGTGGTTCTCAACCTTTCTAGGGCCGGGACCCATTGGTAACATTTGCCAAGTTGTGGTGACCCCCAACCGAGCTCTGGACTCCAGAATTAGTAAGGCGCTGGACTTGGGACTAAAAATAGAAGCACACTCACAAGAATACAAGCCCTCCCCAGCTCCTGCTACCTGCTTGCCTGCTCTGTCTCCATGCGGCCTTCTCCGCCCCAGCACTGCTAAGACGCCCGCCTCCAGCAGAGCCCGCATTGTATGGGAGGCAGGAGGACAGCAGCTGCTGTGAATAGAAAAGCCCTGCTGTACACACGCCCCGGCCACTAGATGTCGCTGCAGCGGCCAGGGAGTGTGTATAGCGGCACTTTTATATTCACCGCCTCTGCTGTCCTCCCGCTGACTGACACTGCTGCGCTAGGAGGAGGCTGAGGGGCCTCTCACCTAGCGCAGCAGAAGTGGATGTTGCGACCCCTTCAACAGTGAGTTGCGACCCACTTTTGGGTCGCGACCCACAGGTTGAGAACCTCTGGCCTATAGAGTGCCATATTATGAACACATTTATTTGTATAAAGAAAAAGCAAGCTTTGATGTATTTCAGGAAAATGAGATCACTGTTATTATTAGCGTTAATAACAATCTAAACTGTAGCAAAACCACAAGAGAATTCTGAAAATATAATGAATGAAGAAATATAACATTCCCTGGTGACAGGCAGCTCTCTGAAAAAAAAAAAAGAAGCCGTACATTATATAAGGGGAGATCCCTATGGCTGGTAGAATTATTTATTCTTTAAAATTGGGTAAGTGACATGTGGAACCCAATATGAGTTTACAAACGTATAGATTCATTAATGGAGTAAATAGGAGGCCCCCCCAGTGAGAAGGTAAAGACTCCGGTGCCTTACACCAACAGAAAGGGCTGCACAGACGGGAAGACAGACACCACTGCTATGTCAAAAGACTGAAAATGTATACAAGTTATTGTTTGACAATTTTATGGAACATTTATGGAAGCCTCAGTTTTACCGATGTTCTGCTGGGCCTGTTGGAAAATGCAAAGCATGTGTTTTATATTTTAATTAGTATAATTCTATAATCTGGTACATAATTCTGTCTTGTGTCTGTGAAGGTTCTCATTCATCCAGGTCATGGTATATCTGTGTTTAAACCGAATTAACAGCGCTAGTAGGTGAATCAAATTACCATATAATCGTGTTTGTGGACTATAAGTCATAAAAAGGCCACATGAATGCAAGTACCGTTAATCAATGAAAAACACGGCACTGTACTAGTAAATGAACATGTGTACGGTTAGGGGGTGACTTTTAAACAAGTGTTTCTAGGTGTCTCAGTGTGTAAAAATAAAGTGAATAAATCTACACAAATTGAAAAAGTCCTTCACTTTTTTACACCTACATGTGCATGGATAACATTAGGTGACAAATCATATACTTGAAAAAATTCTGGTGAGTAAACAGAAGTATAAACGAAAATAATTATGAATGACAATTAATTGTGCTGACAAACGATGAATATAAACAGCTACAGTCTCTGAAGTATACAGCTCAGCTTCAAAGCCAAGTAGCAGAGCCTTCCAATGTTCGGTAGAGTGGTGCTTCCCTGGGGTTTGTATTAAGATCAATACATCCCCCTAATAGAGTGCGTACTCACCACAAACTTTCGGCTGTAACAGACAGCCCCAAACATTTTGTCTGATGGGACACCGTTACTGCGGCGTCTTTCGTATCTCGTGCTTTACCATCAGTCCTCAGTGTAAAGTATTCCCACAGTCATGCAAAGAAAAATTATTTCATCTGGTAATAGTTCCAGAAATAGATTATTTAAAATTTAAAAAATCAAACGTGTTTCGTATGGTAGACCCACCCCTACGTATCGTCACCACTGACGTCCTCAGGGGAATCTGTAAAGAATAAGTCAAGGCAACTGTGCTTTCTGTATTTTTCTTGAAGACGTTTCACTGGGCATCCGACCAGCTTTCTCAATTCAGAATGACTTGTACAAAAAAATTATCTGGGAATAAATATGGTGAATTTCGGTCCAATCCACATAATCTGTTAGTGGCAGCCGGGTGTTGATTGCATTTGCATAATTGGAGTCTAGGAGGTGTTATTAACCTGCCCAGAGAGATGTGTTAAAAAAGCATTGTATGTGGCAGACGATAGATGT